GTTAACCTACGAGCGTAATAATATATTTCATTTTCATCATGGATTAGACTGCCCGTCTGATGTTTGTTAACCATGCCTCTACCAGTCTGAAATGGGTCTAACTTTATTACCGCGCCTTTCATTTGCAGCCTCGATAGTAGAGCTAATCGTCATCTGTTTGGGACGTCAAATCTGCCAAATATGTTCGCTAATGGTGTTTTGATGTTATCTGACATGAATGTAAGTAAACATGCAAATTACAAACAGCGACATTAGTCAGACTCCATTTGCAAATCAGCGTGCTGCTGCACCCTCTCTAAAGATATTAAATGTTATATTCTGCTTTAATTTGTTTAATATTTTGACGCATTAACCCTCGCATGTGTAGGAGGAGGGGGGTCGGATGGACCCCCCCATGGTTTTTCGCGAATAACTCGCGTAAAAAGCGGACGATCGCAACGAAACTTTCAGTACCCTCGCATTGATCAATTTTACACCTACCCTGAAAATTTCATGACCCTGACTTAAATGACCTTTGACCTGTGACCTCTTTTCCGAGACCATGTTTGGCCGGAATCGTGATTTCGCGTATGTCGGCTCGCACTAGCCGCGTGTTTGCAAGCTTTTCGTGGTTTCAAACGTTCAAACATGTGATTCGATGTTACTCCCGTGTGTGTCAAGGTCACCTGAAGGTCAGGTCAGGTCATTGACCTTTGGTGACCTCGGGTGACCTCGGGTCACTTTTTCGAGTTTTACATGTTTCTAGGCTAGTTTTTGGAGCTGAATTCGAATTTAGCAACCATTTGAACATTTACGAAGTAGTTTTGGTAACTTCGTAACATGTTACGAAGCTGTCAGAGGCGGTTGACACGTATTACGAATACCCGTCACGACGCCTACTGGATGACCTGACCTGACCTGACCCGACCTGGTCTAAATGCTTCAAGACATCATCTGTGATCAAAACTAACACGATATTCGTGATCAGCACCCCGAAAAACCCCTTAGCAGTCACACTTTACGACTTTCTAACAGGTCCCGATTTTACCGACTTTGGGTCATTGACCTGACCTGGAAGGTCAACCAATGACCTAGGACCTTAAAATTGGGTATCATCGGCTTTCTCTCGTCACGGGCAACACGCTCGTTTTTTTCCGCGAAGCTCTAGCTCGATCAGGGGCCAAACGGCAAGGGGGGGGTCCAACCGACCCCCCCCCCTACACATTAGAAGCTGGCAGACGCCGCACACATGCGAGGGTTAAGGGCCCGGAGCAATGAAGGACCAAAGTGAGCAATGATGCAAGTCGCTCGCTGATCAGTTTCAAAACACTTTGATCGAATACTTTGATGCGTACTCTAATCATTTTGCTATTGCGCACGGTTGACGTATAATTCTGATGGCTCAATCAGTGAGTATAAGAACGATAACAAGTTGACAGATTTATAATTACAGTTTCACTTTATTACCCATTCAGTGCGCTAGTAGGCGGGCACGTGAATGGCGCTGTGATTCGGATGCAACGAATGATAGAATAGATATACATATGTGAAAGCCAGTCTGGTTTCCAGAAACACGTTCCCTTTGATTAGACGAAATCATTTCAGCATAAGATTAGTGACTTTATTTAGGCTCGGCTGTTAGGCAGTGTTGGTTCTTCGACATTAGCCACGCTGTATTGCAATGTGCTAAACACCTTAAATGATAACTAATAGCTTTCCAATGTTTCACAGCTTTTTTGCTAACCAGAGACAAGTACCATTTTGCGTTCATTATAGCATATGGCATAACTTAACTACCTATATTGTGACGATATAACAGTCAGATCAAAAGGGATGACAGCCCTTTACATGTTTCATTGATGTTATCATAAACTGTTTCATTTAGCTGGACGCATGCATGAATACATGCATGCAATATGCATGCATAAAGAAAGGGATATAGGGTTCATGCAGAAGGCATCTGCACGTTTCACGCATGAGTGGGAAAGATATTCCAGAAGCTGGTATGGTGATGTTATGTAAGGTTTGTGACACATTATAGCGCGACATTTACACTACCACAAAAGAACCCATAATGGTCGCATGTGATGATAGAAACGTCTATAATTTCATTGCGGCTGTCATATGGTATCACCTGTTTCTGTTTTTCTCTGCGAATATGTAATGTATAGCTAGTGTGTCCTTTGTGCTCCGTATGATTTTCGTAGCTATAGAACCCATGAAACTTCTTTGTCTCTTATTTTCAAGACACCTTGCTTAAAGGTAGTGTGCCAGCTTTCTTGGACCATATGGAGTTAATGACCCGGATAAGGAGAACCGGATTTTTAGAACTTATCCATACCTTCAAAACTTATGGAAACGTCTTAAATTCTTCAAATTTTGAGTACCCCAGTGCGAAATTCGCCCCGACGGGTTGTCGGTCGTACCCCAACCACATTTCACACCACTATGAACAATAAATGCACATACTAAAATCGCTATTACCGATAGGCTCATCCAATCAAGTTTCGATAAACCCGTTCATCATCATCTCCTGCGGTTTCGAACACGCCTGTTAGGTGGCTTCTGATTCTCGTCGAGGTCGGAATTTCCAAATACGCGTGGTGCGTCGGGCCGCGCGCTCTGACTTCGGCCAAGAAAAATGCGTCAGCTGATCATTGTCATTTCTGCCACTTGCGTGTGGTGTAATGGGGTCATAACTTAAGAGACGGCTGTTTCATATCAATTATTTTACATGAAATCATATTTCAAACCACAAATTAATGTTCGACAGCCAAATTTAAGAAACAATACCAATACAGGCTTACAGTTTAAGGCTCGACATTGTGTTGTCTACGATTAGACAGCTGATAACTCATTCCCGTACGTCGTATGGTCGTAACACTATAATGACCTTTGCTTATTGTCACAAGTGCGCCGCATTCGCGATTGTTGCCCGACGCCTGTTTGCAGGTGAGCCCACTACAGTTGTTATACATATCTAAAAACCGATAAATTTTTAGGCGAAAAAGGCACTATTCCAGGTCCATTTTTGATTTTTTTTTGCGATATTAGGTAAAAACAGAAGCTTCTTATCCTAGGAAAAATAAAACGGGAAATCTTTCAAAGGTGGCACACTACCTTTAAGTTCGTAGTTTCTCTCCCTCGCCCATGTAAGGGGGGGGGGTTGGTGCAACCCCCCCTGAGGTTTTTCGGAAATAGTGCAAAAACGGCGGCGCGCAGCGCCGCCAAATTTTGGGTACCTTATGGGGCAAACCTTGCGCATCTTTTGATAAAAAAAATTTGACCGGGTCATGTCAGGTCACGGAGTTATGACGTCACAAAGGGAACAGCCTCCGGCCGGATTTTCACAAACTGAGTGCCAACGCCCGAGGTTTCCTGCCGGTGGTACGGACATCGGTTGATGGATCGTGATGAAACTTCCCATGCATGTTGGGGCAAGTATTGGCTATCATATGGTATAAGAAACTTGACCGGGTCAGGTCAGGTCACGGAGCTATGACGTCACAAGAGGAACAGCGTCCGGTACTATTTTTGAAAAGCGCCCGAACCACTATTTTGCTAATTCTTGTCACCTCAATGGGAATATGCAGCAATATTAGCTTCTATAGGGAGCAAATGGACCTTCCAAATCCAAAAATACAATCAGATTTCAAAAATTTAAATTTTGATTTTTCGAATTTCTGCCGCTGACTGTGACCTTGCCGACTTCCGGCGCTCCCAACGCGCCATTTTTAGAGCTAGGGAAACGAAATACATACCAAACGATAGAGAATTGATCAAGGAACACGATAGTGAAGGTTTCAAGTCGATATCTCCCACCATTTTACCGCAATTGCCGCAGAAAGTTGAAAAAAGTCTATTTTTCCGAAAATTTGACCTTTGACCGGTCAAAAGTAGGTCAAATGTTGACCTAGGACCAAAAAATCTACCACCAATCGCGAGATCTCGGCGAGAGCAATCCGTTGGTCTTTTCCGCTAAGCTCTACGACGCTCCGTTTTCAAACGCCAAGGGGGGTCGCACCAACCCCCCCCCCCTGCATGGGCGAAGGTGGCAGATCGCCGTTTACGGGCGAGGGTTAACCCTCGCCCGTAAACGGCGATCTGCCACCTTCGCCCATGCAGGGGGGGGGGGGTTGGTTCGACCCCCCCCCCTTGGCGTTTGAAAACGGAGCGTCGTAGAGCTTAGCGGAAAAGACCAACGGATTGCTCTCGCCGAGATCTCGCGATTGGTGGTAGATTTTTTGGTCCTAGGTCAACATTTGACCTACTTTTGACCGGTCAAAGGTCAAATTTTCGGAAAAATACTTTTTTTTCAACTTTCCGCGGCGATTGCGGCAAAATGGTGGGAGATATCGACTTGAAACCTTCACTATCGTGTTCCTTGATCAATTCTCTATCGTTTGGTATGTATTTCGTTTCCCTAGCTCTAAAACTGGCGCGTTGGGAGCGCCGGAAGTCGGCAAGGTCACAGTCGGCGGCAGAAATTCGAAAAATCAAAATTTAAATTTTTGAAATCTGATTGTATTTGTTAATTTGTGAGGTCCATTTGCTCCTCAATTCCCATTGAGGTGACAAGAATTAGCAAAATAGTGGTTCGGGCGCTTTTCAAAAATAGTACCGGACGCTGTTCCTCTTGTGACGTCATAGCTCCGTGACCTGACCTGACCCGGTCAAATTTCTTATACCATATGATAGCCAATACTTGCCTCAACATGCATGGGAAGTTTCATCACGATCCATCAACCGATGTCCGTACCACCGGCAGGAAACCTCGGGCGTTGGCACTCAGTTTGTGAAAATCCGGCCGGAGGCTGTTCCCTTTGTGACGTCATAACTCCGTGACCTGACATGACCCGGTCAAATTTTTTTTATCAAAAGATGCGCAAGGTTTGCCCCATAAGGTACCCAAAATTTGGCGGCGCTGCGCGCCGCCGTTTTTGCACTATTTCCGAAAAACCTCAGGGGGGTTGCACCAACCCCCCCCCCCCTACATGGGCGAGGGTTAAGACATGGTCAGGTATGTATGAAGGTTCGATGTATTCATGTATGACAATTGACATGATATTGCACCGTTAAACGGCAAATACAAAAGGAACCGGGGCCGTATTCACGTCGACTTCGTAAGTCGATTTTCTTTCGTAAGTATAATTTGGTATTCACGTCGACACTTCTTAAGTTTTTATCAACGGAGTTCACGTGATTAAAAAAATTTACTTAAGAAGTAGGTCAAACTTAAGAAAATTCTTACGAAAATGATCGACGTGAATACGGCCCCAGATCTTAATAGAATGCAACACACTGAATAAATATCAGTATCAATTACAGATAGCAACATTTAGTTGTAGGTGGGCTTGTAGGCGGGCTGGTAGGCGGGCTTGTAGGCGGGCTTGTAGGCGGGCTGGTGGGACGGAGCGGCGTACGAAGCGGGCTTGTAGCTTGGCTTGTAGCTGGGCTTGTACTCGTCGTAGCGGGCCTCGCCCTCGTAGGTCACCTCGGCGTTGTAGCCTCCGTAGCCCTGCTGGTCAGCCACGTACTTGACCGTCTGCACACGGCCGTCGGGCAGGTTGACCGAGTAGTAGCCGTTGACGTTCTTGGCGTCGCTGTTCTCGTTTTGCGAGAAGACGGCGCCCGAGTAGTGGTCGTTGACGGCGTAGTCGAACTGGTACGGCTGAGCGGGCTCCTTGTAGGACGGCTGGTGGTAGGCCGGGGCCGGGTGGTAGGCCGGCCGGGGGCTGTAGGGGGTGGAGGGGGCGGCGGCAGCCACGGCCACCAGGGCAGCAACGACGAAGAACTGCAAAAGGAACAGCAGGCATAGGTTAGCTATTGGCTTAGCGCCATCATCCATATGCTTTTGCTCAATAGTTTGCAGTACTCAAGACCTATAGTTATTGCCAGTTGGCCAGCATGCTCACAGGTGTACGACCTAGTTATATGTAGTTGTTAGGTAGTCTTGCGAGTAGCTGTATATGAGGTTATTTCAATGCGTATTGTCCGCACTGAGCGGAGGGAGCTAACCTTCATGTTTGCAGATTCGGTCTTTGGCGACTGATACTGTGAACGGCGGACCCGCCTGCCTTTATACCAGCCAGCGACCGTAACCTTGGTTGGACGGAGGGAGGGCGGGGCTGAAATGAATAACCAGCTCGGGAGGCTGAACGGCCGTGTGATAGCGGCAGACCAGAATGACTTACGAATGACCGAGACTTTGGTACGAATGACTTTCATTTGCATACTTTATTTTTATTGACAAAATAGGCCGCAAGTTGACCTTAAACCACTGACATAGGCAAAGAAAATATAATAGTAGCGTTTCAATCATCCTACAACCCTGATTAGTGTAGCCGAAGGCCTCAAAATGATCGTTAGGTCGGTGCAATCATAAAGAACACTGAAGACGTACGCACAATTTTTGCTGAGATCCGTCATCTGTGTAGTGGTTAGTGTTACCTCACAGAGAAAATGACCATTTTTCGATATATACGCAAACCTTATCCTCATGGCCTAAAAATCCGCCTTACACTTCACAAGTTTATCAATCAGTGGCTCAAACCTAACGACCTAACATTTCGTCATTTGTCATTGCATGCGATGAAAGCACCCAGATGCACTTGATACTGATCAGCTTTATTTATTAGGAGTCTCAAGAAATTTACCAATGGTATGTACATACCAGAAAACCAGGGAAAATATGTGATGGAAATACCGGTAATATTTCAATAATTTGCTATCATGCGATGCGGAATGACAAAATATCCAATAAGCTAGCATTATTCCGATAATGGACCAGACATCATGTACACCACGGCTATTTTACGAGAACTTATGTCATTTGGTATACCTCAGTCCCCAGACACTTCTGAAAGCAGTATCAGCTCTATATTTGCAACTTTATTACATAAATCAATGTTCATGATATGTTGCGTTTAATTTTTTTTTTGGCACAGATGCAAACACCATAAATGAGAAAATGTATATGTAAGCCCAACAAATAACATCATCCGTACTTCTCATTTGTTTAACGGTCTTTTCCGCACATTTCCTCAAGCTGAGTTAGGCAAACTTGAAATAAATTATGACAGGAAGCTTCACATATTTATAAAAAGAAAAAGACATGACAAGGCCAGTGCTTTCAATTCCCAATCCCAATACACATACACAGAAAGCAGAAAGTTTTCATTGCGAAGAAATTTGTCATTTTCTCCTTCATTCTTTTTCCACTCCTCCCACACATCATTTCCGTGCATCGCCTTTTTTATTCTCCCACATCCTTCCACCCTCTCCTTGGTCCAGTACCGGGTCGGAACTCGGATTGGTCTCCGAGGAGCTCCACGTGAGCACGGGCCGCTCACCGACCAATTACCAACAATTGTGTTACCGACGGACCCTCGGCACGGCCCCTGGAGGTCACTCACCGACGACCGCCGGAAGAAAAAGACCGATACGGTGATGGTACAGGGGTTGGCATGTAGGAATCTTGCATTTAAAAGAGAAGCTCTTTATTTAGATGAAGTGTTTGCTATTGCAACAACTGAATGATAACCGCTGATTTATTTTATTGCATATTTATTTTTTATGCATTTTCGGGATTTTATTGACCACTGATATTTTCGTCGCAGTGGATAAGCCATTTTCCAATTAAATATTTGCAGCACGAGTCTAAAAACCAGAATTTAGAAGATGCGCTTGGCACATCCTCAGTGTTCGGTTTGGGTCTTTGATTTCGACCCCAACCATCAACAGTGTCACACTGTCACAGAGACCGTTTGGACTGACTGAGCGCTGGTTTCCACTGTCCCCAGGTGAAGAAGCGCGCTGACCTGTCGTTGCACCAGCTGGCGCACGGGGTCAGCGCCATCGTGACCCGACAGGGCGCCGTGGTGGCCGGACCGCCTGTGTCCAGCGCCCTACAGGCCGGGCCGCAGGTGAGCCAACGAACTGCTATGTATAATGTTCGTCGTTCGTATGATGTGTCGATATGTCGTTGTATTTCAGCGTGTAAGCCGTGAGACAGCGAGGATAGTGCCATGGGACCGTCACTAGTGTGGAACAGCCAGTAGGCCGGTTGCTAGTGGAACAGTTTCGAGACATTTCTATCGCAAGTGGGGTTGTCACAACTCAAAAGCGACGCTGCCATCCGTGCGTTGGAATCTGTGATAAGGGTGTCCATGAGTGTAGGGATGTTTACTGTTAACTCGCGAGCAGTAAACATTGATTATGTTACCAGTCCGCCAGCAATGATCCTGTGGTCAGTGTCAGGTGGGTCTGGGATTTCTTGACAAGTCTATGTCTATGACCTCTGTGTCCTTTGACAGTTCCAAGGCCTACGTTTTTTTTTGCCAACTTCCCTGACTGCTGTTGTGATGCGTGCTACTGAGCCGGCACGAGCTATGCCGGCGCAGTCAGCTGACAGCTGTTGCCAGCCGCCGCGGCGCCGGCCGGCGCCTGATGGTAGGCTGTGCCGCCCGGCAGCTTCCGGCGTCCTTGAGTAAAGAGTATTGTTGTGCAGTCGTCAGCCGGACTCAATACAGTTAACATCGGGAGTGCGCGTGTGCATCTGGGGCGGTGGAATCGCGACGATAATTAATTTGCTATCGAACCATTATTAACGTAGACTTAAATGTAAAACCATAACATGGCGCGATCGGTATAATTTACTTTTTATCATTAAATATAGCATTTTTTTCGTCGGTTTTCGCGCGCGTTTCTCGCAATGGCGGAGAAAGACAAGCCGGTGGACCTGGGAGCCCTCACCAAACTCCTCGCCCAGCAACTGGAGCTGGCTCAAGAAGCTCAGCGACAAAGCCAGCAGCGGGAGGAGCGTATGGTGGCCGTAATGGAACGGATGTGGGTCGGGCCGGCGGCAGGGGCCGGCGCTGCAGCCACGGCGGCTACTGCAGCGGCCACCCCAGCCGATACGAACGCAGCCGTCAATCTACCGCCCAGACTGCCGGCATCAGCGACTCCCGCTCCACAGTTGTCGTCATCGGCGTCACTGAAGGAGTTTGAATCCTGGCGACAGAAATTTCACGGCTACAGTCTGCTGACTGGCGTCAACAGGCTAGCCCAGCCCGAGCAGAAGGCAGCCCTACTCGCTCTGCTTGATGACGATTGGACCAGGGTGGTCAGGTACGGCCTGCCGATCCCCGAAGACGCTGACATGAACACCATCATCACGGCGATGCAGACGCATCTGCGCCGCCAGCGTAACGTCATCATCGATCGGAGAGATTTTTACATGCGAGCACAGGAAGCGGGCGAAACAGTGGACGATTTTCTCTGTGGGTTGAAAGAGATTGCATCGTTCTGTGATTTCTGTCACCACTGCCAGGACAACAGGTTCAGAGATCGAGTCGTTGTCGGCACGCGAGACGAGGAAGCACGCCGCAGAATGTTGGAAGAGCCGGATCTCACGCTTCAGAAGGCAGTGGATATCGCCCGAGCGTCAGAGAATGCCGCCTCCAACAGCTCAGCCATCCGTGAACCAGCTGGCTCGACCCTGGCGAGGGTCTCTCAGTGCCAGCGCAGCCGCGGTCGCCCGAGGGACCGGTCGACAGAGAAGACGTGCCCCCGCTGTGGTGGTGAAGTTCACCGTAGCGCCGGCGACTGCAGGGCCGTCAAGAGGACCTGCCGAGCCTGTGGCAAGGTAGGCCACTTCGCGTCTGTCTGCCGCGGTCGCAGCGCCAGTCGCTCGCGCGCTCCGGCGGCGAGCACAGACCGGACCCAGCGGAGGTCCGATGGAGGCAGACGTGTGTCGCTCGTCACAATGAAGGCGCGAGCGGCATCTGCACCTGCCAGACAGACAGTGGACCAGCAGCACCGAGACTGCATGATCCAAGGCCTGCACACGACGCGTGCTCCGCAGATCCAGATTCTGCTGCATCGGAGTGACGGTCGCAGGCAGCAAACGACATGGACGCCAGATACAGGCGCTGAGGTGTCTGTTATCTCTCAGGAGGCAGCGAAGCAGATGGGCATCAACGTCAAGAAGCTGACGCCGCCCTCTGGAAGCCTGTTCGCCGCAGACGGACGAGAACTGCCCTGCCTGGGAGCGTGCCAAGTCGCACTGCAGCTGGGAAGCATCAAGAGGACGATAGCCGTCTCTGTGGTGAAGAAGCTGCACAGCTCGCTGCTGTCGTGGCACGACGCTGTTCGACTGGGAATACTGCACAAGGAGTTCCCACAGCAGATCCGTTCTGCCATCTCAGACGAGGAGGAGACCTCCAGACCAGCTCCAGCAGTCTGCTCCCTGAAGACCATGCCAGGGAAGAGCAAGATACCCCGCAGAGTGGTCAAACGAGGCTCTGCTCCTGCACTTGAAGACGCCGGGAAGGCGCAGAAGGTGCACCCGCTGAAGCCGACGTGGGATGCAAGCAAAGGCGTGCCATCGGCTGAAGAACGACGGAAGCACTTCTCAGCGATGAAGGAAGCCTTCCCACGAGTGTTTGACGTCACCTCGAAGCTGCGCAAGATGTCCGGAGGCTCAATGGCCATCGAGTTGACTGAAGACGCCACACCAGTGTCCGTCTCCACAGCTCGCAGTGTACCGTTCTGCTGGCGTGACGACATTCGGCGCCAGCTGGATGAGCTGCTGGAGAGTGACGTGATCGAGTCGGTGGAGCATCCGACCGAGTGGTGCCACCCCATCGTGCCGGTGGCAAAGCGGTCGCCGGACGGCACGGTCTCTGGCTGCCGTCTGACGGTCGACCTCACCAAGCTGAACCGATTCGTCAAGAGGCCAGCGTACCCAGTCAGGTCGCCGCACGACGCTGTGGCCTCGATCGGCAGCGGGGCAAACTTCTACACGAAGCTGGATAGCAAGTCTGGCTACCACCAGATCCCCATCCGCGAGGAGGACCAGGACAAAACGTGCTTCATCACGCCATGGGGCCGTTTCCGCTACAAACGTGCCGTCATGGGTCTGATCTCGTCAGGAGACGAGTACAACCGAAGAGGCGACGCTGCTCTCGGTGACATCCCTCAGACATGCAAAGTCGTAGACGATATTCTGGCGTACGACTCGAGCTACTCAGCTCACCTGGAGCACGTGTGGAACATCCTGCAGAGATGTGATGACCACGG